GTCCGGGAGGGCCCGGGCGGCCGGGTCAGCCCCATCCCCCCCCACCAGGGGCCCAGGCGTCCGGGAACCCCCTCCCCATCCCTCTACACCCCCTTCCCGGAAGCCCGGGCCCCGGCGCCTACCCGGAGTAGAGGAAGAAGAGGTAGAAGGGCAACGAGACGAGGAGCTGGAGGTGGCGCCAGCGCGGGAGGCCGAAGGCCGCGGCCGCCAGCACGAACTGGCCCAGCGTGTAGCAGTAGCCGTTGACGGTGCCCACGGTGGCCCGCAGCTCCGTGGGGATCCACTCCATGCCTGCGGGGGCGGCGAGTGGGCGCCCGGACGCCTGGGCCCGTCCCCGAACGCCTGGGTCCTTCCCGTGGGGATGGGTCCCATCTGGGATAACTGGGTCCTTTTCTGGATGTCTGGGCTCCCCTTTTGGGGGTTGTGGTGGTGGGGCCCTCCCCGGACGCCTGGGCCCCTCCTGGGTCCATCCCATGGGTCAACGGTACCGGGTCCCTTCCCAGGACACCTGGGTCCATCCCATGGGTCAAGGGTACCAGGTCCCTTCCCAGGCAGCTGGATCCCTTCCCAGGACCCCTGGGTCCATCCCATGGGTCAACGGTACCGGGTCCCTTCCCAAGACACTTGGGTCCATTCCATGGGTCAACGGTACCAGATCCCTTCCCTGGACACCTGAGTCCATCCCATGGGTCAATGGTACCAGATCCCTTCCCAGGACTCCTGGGTCCATCCCATGGGTCAACGGTACCGGGTCCCTTCCCTGGACACCTGGGTCCATCCCACGGGTCAACGGTACCAGATCCCTTCCCAGGGTAGCTGGATCCCTTCCCAGGACACCTGTGTCCATCCCATGGGTCAACCTTACTGGGTCCCTTCCCTGGACACCTGGGTCCATCCCATGGGTCAACGGTACCGGGTCCCTTCCCTGGACACTTGGGTCCATCCCATGGGTCAACAGTACCAGATCCCTTCCCAGGACCCCTGGGTCCATCCCATGGGTCAGCGGTACCGGGTCCCTTCCCAGGTAGTTGATCCCTTCCCAGGACCCCTGGGTCCATCCCATGGGTCAACGGTACCGGGTCCCTTCCCAGGACACTTGGGTCCATCCCATGGGTCAACGGTACCGGGTCCCTTCCCAAGACACTTGGGTCCATTCCATGGGTCAACGGTACCAGATCCCTTCCCTGGACACCTGAGTCCATCCCATGGGTCAATGGTACCAGATCCCTTCCCAGGACTCCTGGGTCCATCCCATGGGTCAACGGTACCAGATCCCTTCCCTGGATACCTGGGTCCATCCCATGGGTCAACAGTACCGGGTCCCTTCCCTGGACACCTGGGTCCATCCCATGGGTCAACGGTACCGGGTCCCTTCCCAATTGGCCCCACATCATGCCCATGTCATCCCCAGGTCCCCACATCACCACATTGTCCCCATGCCCCCACATTGTCCCCATGTCCCCACGATGTCCCCACTTTGTCCCCACGTCCCCACATTGTCCCCATGTCCCCACGATGTCCCCACTTTGTCCCCACGTCCCCACATTGTCCCCATGTCCCCACGATGTCCCCACTTTGTCCCCACGTCCCCACATTGTCCCCATGTCCCCACGATGTCCCCACTTTGTCCCCACGTCCCCACATTGTCCCCATGTCCCCACGATGTCCCCACGTTGTCCCCATGTCCCCACGATGTCCCCACTTTGTCCCCATGTCCCCACATTGTCCCCATGTCCCCACAATGTCCCCACATTGCCCCCACGTCCCCACATTGTCCTCATGTCGCCACGATGTCCCCACTTTGTCCCCACTTTGTCCCCACATTGTCCCCATGTCCCCACATTGCCCCTACATTGTCCCTGCATCCCCACTTTCTCCCCACGTCCCCGCATTGTCCCCATGTCCCCATGTTGTCCCCACATTGTCCCCATGTCCCCACGTTGTCCCCATGTCCCCACATTGCCCTGAGGCCCCCCTGTCATCCCCAGGCCCCCATGTCATCCCCAGGTCCCCACGTCATCCCCACATTCCCACATTGGCCTCACATTCCCACATTGGCCCCACATCATGCCCATGTCATCCCCAGGTCCCCACATCACCACATTGTCCCCATGCCCCCACATTGTCCCCATGTCCCCACAATGTCCCAATGTCTCCACATTGTCCCCAGGCCCCCGTGTCATCCCCAGGTCCCCATGTCATCCCCAGGTCCCCACGTCATCCCCACATTCCCACATTGGCCCCACATCATGCCCATGTCATCCCCAGGTCCCCACATCACCACCTTGTCCCCATGTCCCCACATTGTCCCCATGTCCCCACATCGTCCCCATGTCCCCACATTGTCCCAATGTCTCCACATTGCCCCCATGTCATCCCCAGGTCCCCATGTCATCCCCACATTCCCACATCATCCCCACATTCCCACATTGTCCCCACATTCCCACACTGTCCCCACAACATGCCTATGTCATTCCCAGGTCCCCACATCACCACCTTGTCCCCATGTCCCCACACCATCCCCATGTCCCCACTTGTCCGAGAGGATCCCGAAGATGACGGATCCCACCAGGATCCCGGCCATGTAGATGGACTGCGCCGCCTGCCGCCAGCTCCGGGCCTCGCACACCAGATCCCACTGCCACCAGAGAGGCCACTCGAGTCCCTCCCGGACGCCGGGGCCCCGTGGCCCCACTGTGGGACGTGACATGGGACCTCACCTCGGTGACGATGGTGTCGGCGAAGACGCCGTCCTCGTAGACCCAACCGTCGCGGCAGGGCTCTGTAGGCCACTCTTGGGTGACGTTGGCCATGGTAGCGTTGGCCACCAAGAGGGGCTCCACGTAGCGCCGGCAGCGGCCGTTGGCCGGGATGAGCGCCGGGACCGCTCGGGTGCCGTTGGGACTCCCCTGGGGGCGGCAAGGAGGACCGGGGCTTCTGCAGCAGGTTATGGCTGTCCAACATGAGGAGCGGCAGGGCCAGCCCGGCCACGTAGGTCACCTGGAAGCGGCCCATGCCACCCAGGCGGGCCAGCAGCTCCGAGAAGGTCATGGCCTCCATGGTGATGGGATGGGATGAGGAGCAGGAGGAGGCCAAGGAATGTCTGGAGGTTGGGGGGCAGCAGAAGGTTGGGGGTGGAACTGGAAGAGGGTGGGGATATGGGATGGACTCAAGGATGAGGGATGGGATGGAGGACAAGGGATGGACTCAAGGATGAGGGAGGGACTGAAGCATAAGGGATGGGGCAAGGGATGGACTCGAGGATGGGATTGGATGGGAGGATGAGGGATGGGGCAAGAGATGGACTCAAGGATGAGGGATGGGATGGAGCACAAGGGATGGACTCAAGGACAACGGATGGACTCAAGGACAAGGGATGGACTCAAGGATGAGGGAGGGACTGAAGGATAAGGGATGGGGCAAGGGATGGACTCAAGGATGGGATTGGATGGAAGGATAAGGGATGGGGTAAGGGATGGACTCGAGGATGGGATTGGATGGGAGGATAAGGGATGGACTCAAGGATGGGATTGGATGGAAGGATGAGGGATGGGGCAAGGGATGGACTCGAGGATGGGATTGGATGGGAGGATAAGGGATGGACTCAAGGATGGGATTGGATGGAAGGATAAGGGATGGGGCAAGGGATGGACTCAAGGATGGGATTGGATGGAAGGATAAGGGATGGGGTAAGGGATGGACTCGAGGATGGGATTGGTTGGGAGGATGAGGGATGGGCTCGAGGCCACGGGATGGGACAAGGGAGGGCTGAAGGACGAGGGATGGGTTGAAGGACAAGGGTTGAACTGAAGCTGGGACGTGGGACGGAATCGGGATGAGGGACGGACTCAAGGACATGGGAGGGGACAAGGGCTGGACCAAGGGACGGACGAGGGAGGGGACAAGGGATGGACGGAAGGACAAGCAACAGATGGAAGGACAAGGTCTGTGGTTGGTCATTGATCCATTCGGTGATCTCCATCCCCCTCTATTGATTGGTTTATTGGTCTCCACAGCTCCACTGATCAATTTACAGACCTTTAATTGATCCATCTATGGGTCTTTAGGTCCCCATTGAGCTATAATCGGTCTATTGATTAGCTTATTGGACCGCGATTGGTCACTGGCCCATGCAATGGTCTCCACCTCCCTCTATTGGTCTCCACAGCTCCATTGATCAATCTATTGATCTTTAATTGATCAATCTACAGGTTTTTATGTCCCTATTGATCTATAATTGGTCTATTGATCCATTTATTGAACTTTGATCAGTCATTGATTCATTTAATGATTCCCATCTCCCTCTATTGATGAACTGGTTGGTCTCCACAGCTCTATTGA